TTTCTAAGTATTTCAAAACAAACTCCTAGATTTTTGCGCAAGATTCCGTTAGTAAAAGAAACGTTTGCTTGCCCACCGTGAGCACAATGAAGCATATTCAGCTGCTGGTCAAGATTTCATAACGAAACACTCCATTGTCCGCCTTTTGTGTGTGTTATTAGGATTGGAGCAAAAACGACTATACGTTGAGTGACGCCATTTCGCTCCCCCGCTTTCGCCAAGATATACCGCCGTAATCGCAAATGTTTCAATAGCGATCCGGCTGGCAATCTTTGGAAAGCATTACTCCCTCATTCGGAATTTGTCTGGTTTCTAGTGGCAAAACGGTTGCCATGTCAGTTTATCGTGATAACGTGCTTTTCTTCTCGTGTCCATATATCTCACCAGTCCTTTTTTTTGCTTTACTTGAAACTGCAGAAGCGAGCTGATGGCGGTAGAACCCTATCATGAATGAAGAAACAAGAGAAAGCCACGAAAAAACTACAAAAACTTACATAAAAAGCACTCCTACCCCATCGCCCGCCGTCATTTTCGTTTGTTCTGAGAACTTAACGCTATCTTATTCAGAAATAGTGACTATTTAGCCTGCAAACTTTAGTTAGTTTTTGCATTTCAATGCGTACGAAAGTGCCGCAATGAATGTGTAGTTCCACCCAATAAACCAAGAATTTTTTGGTCGGAATTTTTGAGAGTAATTCGTATGACAGCACAATGATAATCATTATTAATACGCAGTTTTATACTCTGCAAACTGTGATTATCGTTCACTAGTTTCTAGTAAACTTTGGAATATTTCATTTTGGGTGTTACGGCCTCTTTAAATCAAGTTGAGGAATGTGGCGGATTTTGCTGTGATTATGGAGTAAGTGTTAACTATCTTGAATGTAAGAAAACAGCGCTGAAAACAATGCATCTTGATGCAAATTTCACGTTATCCGCAACGTTGTAAGATCAATTCGAATCATGATTTGTAGACCTTCACGAAAGGGAAGGTTTCTACAAGAAGGCAAATTTATATCCTGGACTCTAACAATAGCTCTTCTCATCACAAGACACTGCAGTCCATACGTTTTACAAAAGTTTGAACATGTAAGTCTATGAGACACGCGACATTGACCATACTTTCATAAAATTTGAAACGTAGTCTGAACGCAGTCTAAACGATTTTTTCAAGATTTTGTTGGCTACTTTTCGTAAGAAAATTTTCACAACATGTCAAACTAGTAGCCTTTTGAAGCTATGTCCAACAGATGTTACATCCTATGGCTGGGATGTGCGATTCTTATTCCTACTGCGATGCTCTCGGCATTACAACGTCTCCGTACCGCCAACGCTTCCCTCGGCGGGGTATTTTGAGGGGGCTCCGCCCGGCAGCGCAACCCGCTCCGTCTCATATACACGACACAACAGATGCTCTCCGGTTCAGATCATTTGGCTCTTCTGATTTTTCTGCTGTGACATTGATCTTACTTTGATGTTATCATTCGAACTGCTGCTGAGATTGAATAAGTCAACGTATAATAAATTTAAACGAAACACAGCTCATGGTCTTCAAAAGAATAGACCTCTATAAAAAGCGTATTGGACATGCTAGTTCAGAATTCACATACTTCTCATTTTCTAAGCTTATCTTTTTTATCACACAACTTCGCGATAGCTATCTGATTGTTCTATGTTCTGAAATCGTTATTTTACAAAAATGTCAATCTCTTTCAGCAATCATGTCCGACGAGGAGGAGCAACTGTAAGTTACTCGAGTACAACGCTAGTACAAGTATCTCGTTTTGATTTGTTATTCATTATAGTTCTGGAGAGGAGGAGGAGCTTGAAGACGAACAGGAAGCACCAGAGGAAGATGCTGAAGAGGAGAGCAAGTGAGTTATATGACTATTTCTTCAAATTTGTACATTAATTGACTGATTTTAGAGCAGAGGAACCAGAAGAGACTACTGGACAGGATGACGCTGAACCTGAGCCAGAAAAGTAAGATTCAGTATGATTTGGAGCTGTTCTTGTGAAAAGCACCGGTATAGTTCTTAACCAACCACACTTTATCAGCCCTCTACTTTCAGGCCAAAATCTCGTGCTCCACCGGCACAGGCAGAAAAACCACCTGCTGAGATGACTGAGGCTGAAGCTGCAATGATGGTATACATCATTTTCGCTACTGTCTTTATCACAAAAATGATAGAAACTATTCAGGCAGCCAAGAAACGTCATGAAGAAGAAGAGGCAGCTAAGCTTCTCAACTACGAGCAGAGAAGACAGCTCGAGAAAGAGCAGATTGAAGCTGAACTCCGTGAGTTGAAAGAGAAGCAGGAGAGGAGACGCGCCGAGAGAGAAGCCGAGGAGGCCGAGTTCAACGAGAGAAGAAGACAGGATGAGGAGCGTCGTCGTAAGGAGGAGGTATCGTGTAGAAACGCTAGAACATGAATCGTGATAAATTATGACTAAATGTTCAGGAAGAGCGCAAGATGAAGGCCGATGCAGAGAAGGCTCGCAAAAACGAGGAAAAATCTCGTCGTCAGCAAATGATGGCTGGTTCCTTCGCTGGCGGACACTCCGCTGGGGCAGGAGAGGGACGCAACTTCAAAGTCAACTCGAAGGGAGACCAAGCTGACAAGTTCGGAAACTTGGCTCAAGTGAGCAGTTTTATCAGCGTTTCTTGACATCTGATGGCAACATCCTGTACAAGTACATTTGTTGAACCAAAATCAACATTTTTTTAGGGCAGCAAACCAGTCAGTCAATCAAAGGAACAGAAGGAAGAGGCGAAGGCTGCCTTTTTGGCTGCTGTTTGCCGTGAAGTCGATGTTTCCGGCTTGCTTCCAAATGATCTGAAAGAAAGAATAAAGACACTGCATGCGCGCATCACCAAACTCGAGACTGACAAGTACGATCTCGAGAAACGCCTCGAGCGCCAGGAGTACGACGTAATTAATTTTTATTTTGACATTTGAGTCCTGATAACTAACAAAATAATACTAATTCAGATGAAAGAACTTCATGAGCGACAGCGTCAAGTTGCAAGAAACAACGCGCTCAAGAAGGGACTTGAACCTGAGGAAGTAGCCTCGACGTTCCTACCTCCAAAAGTAACCACCGCCTCTAAGTTCGACAGACAGATCGACAGAAGGTAGGAGAACATTAATAAGCGATTTAATGTGTCTAGCAAAAACATTCAGGTCATATGGAGACCGCCGCGGACTATTCGAGGCCCCGCCTGTCAAGAAGCTCCCAACCATTGCCCATGGAACTGCCCGTCCTCCTCCCGAATGGGGAAGAAAGACAAATGAAGAATTGGAGCAGCTTAGGTACACATAATCAGATGATGAGATTTTGCTCTTTCGAATCCCTTATTCCTTATAGGAAGAGTCTCGAGCCGCCAAAGTACGTTGAGCAAGTGAAGGTTGAGGGTGCTCGTCCACCGATCGCGCCAGTTCCACTGCAGATACCCGACAAGGACTTTGAAGAAGTGCCAATCGATGGAGTTGCCCCTGCCAGAGCTGAGGAACAACCGGAGCCTGAGGTCTGCTGTACCAATCTGCATAAGGAGCCTTAGTAAAAAGTCTGTTTTAGGCCGAGCCTGAACCAGTACCAGAACCAGAACCAGTCAAGAAGCCAGCTCCACCAGCCAAAGCAGCCAGGGGAGTCAAAGCGTAATTGCTTCTCCACCCAATCCCGTCCCATTGTGAATCTTCTCCAACTTTGCTTCTTCGCTCAATCCGCGTCGCGAGCAGGCAACGATTGGGCCGTTGTAATGATCTGCAGCTGTTGGATTTCGTACGGAATGTCGAGTGGATTCACAGTTGTAATATTACCTCTACAATAAATTTTTGCTCATTTATGCAGTATGCAAAGATGACAAAATCAGCGCGCATTCTCATAACTGCGTGCTAGTTTTCAGATTTCGCTTTTTTCCACAATGTCTCTAGACTACGAATTGCCTTGGGAAAGACTGTTGTTCATAGTGAGAAAACTTTCAACTGGCAAAAAGAGATTTTTTCAAGTCAAAAACACAAGATGGAATAATTACACATAGGAAAAGAATGAATAGTCAGAGAGCGAGCATCAAGCTGCCGTTTTTTTCACAATACGATATCCATAAATGGCATTTCGATCGAAGCATGCCACCGCGATGTTACTTCCTCGACCATTCGTGAACTGAGCTCCCATAATGGCGCAATTTGCTAATTCATCAGAGTATCGGTATTCGACCTGTAAAACCATCACCGACTTGAAAAACCTTGGCATAATTTTACAGACTAGTCGTCCTGCTGCTTTCTACAAACAGTCAAACCAAGCTTGCCAATACCCTGTTTTCAAAATTGTAGGTCTTATCTTGCGAAAATATTGATCGAGCTTATTTGTTCACAGTGAGGACAACAAGGAAAGCCTAGTCTTCTTTTTACGATATGAAATACTTGGGTAAGTTTCACGGGCATGCTTAATTAGTCAACCTCGTGCTTGATCATTCTACAGGTATCATCGAGATTTATTTTATTTGCTCTCTCAGTATTTGGGAAATTAAAGGAAAACGCTAAAACGCATTTACAGGATTAGTTTGAGTAAGCCAGAACACCAGGTACAAACAAATTCAAATTTTCACATGGCAGCTTAGTGCAATGAAAAACCTCAAGCAATGAAATAGATTACCTGATAAGCTTGTGGTTTTCTAGTATGTAATTTGTACACAATAAATCGCCCGTCTTCCGAAGCAGTCAGTACGTAGGCACTTTCAGGTGCAACAGAGATGCATGTCACTGATCTCGCGTGGGCGCATACCTGCAGATGTTTTCGATTTTGAGCCACACTATGAAGGGATGGAAGAAACCAGGGTCATACCTCAGCCATTAGCTCGCCGTTAGCAACAGCATAAAACAGAACTTTTCCACGAACAGTGCCCAAAATCACCTGTTT